ATATATATATATATATATATATATGTCATAAACTATATCTTTATCATATATATATTGTTATGGTCCGGTTCCTTGTACAACGGTGATGGTCCAAGGTAGAACCAATAAAGAAGAACTCGAATACGGATATGGAATAACACAGATATATTACAAACAGGAATATATACAGAGAAGTAGAACGGGTTAGTACGATAAATCAGGTTTAGTAGTAATTGACTGAACGCGACTCTGTTTCGGACTGCCTCTGACTCGACTGACTGACTCGCTCGCTGTGACTGACTTCTGACGGACTTCACTCCAGACTTCAGACTGGACTTCCTGCTTCCTCTTGAGGCGCAGTATTTATTACGTATGGAATAGTCCATTATGTTATTATGGGTAAGGTCCCATAACATATATATATATATATATATATATATATATATATATATATATATATATACTACCCATCAATAATATATATATATATATATATATATATATATATATATAAGCTACCAATCAATTTCATTTCATTTTTTCGTTTCATTTTTTTGGAAGTGATATCTGATGATCCGATCTGATTAAAAGGGCTCTAGTGAAATAAATTATTATAATGGAACCTTAGAGTGGTCTATTTTTCTAATATATATATATATATATATATATATATATATATATATATGCTTTTTTGCTTAAGGTTGTCTGTCATCCTTCCATCTCCGCCCGTCCTCTGTGGGCTGCCAAGTGAAATATCAGCCCGACCTGCGAGCGATAAGTTCTCGGGCATAGGTGGTAGGGAAACATGCCCGGTGCGGGATTGGCAAGTTGCAGATGATACTGGCAATGCCTCTCCTCGAGCGCTCCTCATCTCTCCTTCTCGAAGTGCGCCACTCCGGCAACGCACAAATATCGCTAGTCGTTCCGATTCCTTGTGAGGTTCTCTAATTGTGTCGGGTTAATTTTGCAAGAGATAAGAACACGTTTAAGATAGTCTCGAAATCGTTTCGTTGGGCCTCCACTTGGACGGCTGCCAGTCTCGAGCTCTCCGAAGAATACAATTTTCCGGGGAAGATGGCCTGACATCGGCACAACATGTCCAACTCAACGGAAAAATAAATATGAGTAATAAAAAGGCAAGCTTATTTATTACTTATGGTGAATGCAATACAAAAACTTGCAGGACAATAAAAAAATTTAAAATGGGAATGCCTATAAATGACAATGAAAGCAACGCCTTAAAAGTGTAGTAGTAGGCTTTATGCAACGAAAAAGGTAACCTCACTTGAGAGAAATTGAACGCTTGGCCAAGGGAAGGGGAATGTGTAATTTGGTCTCAAAATTATCTATCAAACAAAAAAAATCTCATCGAAATCGGATGAAAACTTTGAAAACGCATAAACAATATCCGATCACACACACATACATACACACACATACATACACACACATGCATACACACACACATACATACACAGACATACATACACACACATGCATACACACACACATACACACACACACACATGCATACACACACACACATACACAGACATGCATACATACATACACACACATACATACACACACATACATACACACACATGCATACATACACACACATACATACACAGACATGCATACATACATACACACACATGCATACACACACATACATACACACACATGCATACATACACACACATACATACACAGACATGCATACATACATACACACACATGCATACACACACATACATACACACACATGCATACATACACACACATACATACACAGACATGCATACATACATACACACACATGCATACACACACATACATACACACACATACACACACACACACACACACGCACACACACACATACGTGTTGAGAATTATAGATATAGATAATATTATTGTAATAGTTTAAAGTATGTATTTTTATTAAAGTTTTTATAAAGATATATATCCAAGAACAGATAGTAAATAGTAAAACGTTGTTGAGATTTATAATGGACAGGAAGTAGTGGAGAGCCATTGTCACCAACAATTTGGACTCAAAACCGGTACTGAAGAATTATCTATCAAACAAATAATCGAAATTGGATGAAAAATGTGGAAACGCCGAAACAACATCCGATCACACACACACAGACACACATGTGCACACACACACATGTACACACACACACATTCTGATATATATATATATATATATATATATATATATATATATATATATATATATATAAGAAGGCTTAAACACTAATATTCCGTGGTCATAATTTATTCCATTGGAATCGTAAATACGATCTAATTCATCAGACCTACAAATTCAAAAAAAAAAAAAAACAGAAAAAAACAATACCGGAAATAAAAATAGAATTTAGAGATAGTGTAAGTATTATATATATATATATATATATATATATATATATATATATATATATATATATATATATATATACAGGATATATTAAATGCTTTTGCCATGTTGGCACGGTTACATTTGTCATTCGTGTATGTTTGTGGCTAATCTGTCTTCAACGTTTAACGTGTGTAGTAGTGAGTTAACTGAGAAGTGTTCCGTTTAAACATGGCACGTCTGGAAGTGTGTTCGAAATAAAGTCCCTGTAGACAGCTTCTGTAAGACGTGCTGGAAGAATATATGGACCAACCAGGCAATCACCTACAATTCCAGCACACGCAATAATCGTAAACTGATTCTGGTGTTTATCCTGTATTGTAGCATTGGGGATTCCAATCCGCTCACAAATGCTCGCTGCGTAAATTTGTTATTCCATCTCTTGCAAATGTTGAAGAACAAGGCTGAAGAAACACACAACGGAACGGTAGTTTGTGCAATTAAAGGTGAGTGATCAGAGGGCGAAAGACCCTCTACACATTGCAAATGATACGGATACAGGAGCTGCTCTTGAAGTACCCTCCATGCGGTACTATGAGATGTTAGGGTCACTTGACTTGTGTTGATACCTGGATCGTCTCCAACCGCCTGTAGAATGTATTCTTCGTGGTCAGGCGTACGAGTGGATATCAGTCTTCCTCGATCCATAGTTTGTGATGTCACGGATGATAAACAGCAGCAAAGATTGGATGACTCGGCTACGTTCGGTCTGGAAACGCAATCTGATACAGCCGTGCAGCCTCGCGTCCATTAACATTCGCGCGGCCGTATGTAAAAATCACATCTAACTACTCACGATATTAATATCCTACTATTGTTAAACGGAACACTACTCAGCTAGACTAGCCACAAATATACACGAATGACAAATGTAACGTAGTCTACATAGCAACACAGCACCATTTAGCGTAAACTTTCTTTAAAGTTAATACCTGAAAAATGAAGGATTTGCGGACATATATTTATATGAACTTTTGTCCTTGTTTAGGTGTGAAGAACCTGCCAACAAAGTTTGTAAAATATTTTGAAGGCAATGTTTGTTTCAGCATGATCTTAAGTGAAATATACGATACTAAGATTATAAAGACTGAAAGCCATTAAAATAAAATTATGAAAATTATGGTGAGATTAATTAATAATAAAAAATATAACATGAAAAACTAAAAATAATAAAATTAAAAAATGCAATATACAGTGTAACCCGGATATAAGAGAGTTGTCGGGGCCGGAGAAGAAGTCTCTTATATCCGGGTTTCTCTTATATCCGGGTTTCTCTTATATCCGGGTTTCTCTTATATCCGGGTTTGGTGTAATTTATATACATTAACATAGGTTCTAATTTGGGACCAGAGAAAATCTCTCTTATATCCGGGTTTCTCTTATATCCGGGTCTCTTACATCCGGGTTACACTGTATTAGCAAATTGTTCTCTCAACGTGTGATATTGTTGTGTTGAGATTTATTGCGTAAAATACACAATTGTAGCACAAGGCCGAAAAGTGGGGAGTGAATTTGAGGCGGATCGTCACTTGCTATCCTATACCTAGCTAATCCGATTTGTTACAATTGACACATTCACCACAAAAACTCATCCATCGTCAATCAATCCTCCATATGCCATTGCTTTGTTATAGGTAATACGAGGCATATTCGCTTACTGGTATCGGGTAATACGTTGTGTAAATATAACAACAGAGTATTCTATTATTGAATAGGGAAGACTAGATAGCAAGAACAATATATAAAAAGTCTCACTATGTTTTATATTAAAGGATAGATTGAAATGAAATCTCTTCAACGTTCATATGAAAGCTATGCAATTCAATTTAAAGACGGTGTTTATTCATTCCCGTTTCAGGAAGACGGGATTAACAGGGGAGATAACAAGGTATTGAAACAATTGAAAAGTCTCAGCATGAATCTGCTTGGACTCTCGGCTGCCAACAAAAGACAGATTCAAGTGGTTCACTTTGCCTTACTTTCATAAGCTCAATTATTTTCTTTTCAAGTTTAACAGTGGAACACTTGAATAAAAGCGGCATGGAATCGATCTTCAATGTCAGCTGCTCAGGATTCGTGGAATTTGATTGAATTATTGGCGCTCCAGGATTAATTTTCGCCTCTCGGAAATTTCTTGATTTTTGTCGAAGACTTTTCAAAGTTAAGGAAAAAGACAACGTTTTTTTGTTGTTTTTTTTTTCAAAAATCTGAGAATACTTGCATTCAGTGTACGATATAAAATCTTTCTGAAATATGGGCTGAACATTGAAGAGATTTTATTCCAATCTATTATTTAGTATAAAAGACAGCGAGATGTTATATAGCGATTTCCCAAGCGTAGCTTGGATATGGCACAAGGCCGAAAGTAAGGGGCACCCAGTCGGGATCGAACTCACTACTCATTCGTCATTGCTTTAGCGAGACAAGCTGCTAACCATTACACCACCTCGAGGTGCCCAAGAGAGATGTCATATATATGGTTCTTGCTATCTAGTCTTCCCTATTCAATAATGGAACACTCTGTTGTTATAGATAAAATTAGTTGATTTAATTAAAACCTTTGGTTTTAATTGATGTCAAGTAGTTGCATTTATCACAGACACGCTAGGGTCGTAGGGACACCACATACAGTCGCATTATCAGTGGTCTTTTCCTGGACATGATATCCCTGACGGAGCCAGGGCAAGGTATCCAGGACAAGACAGCCTGAGCTAAATAGTTTGACGGAGTCAGGGCAAGATAGCTTGGACAAGATAATCTGACAGGGCCAGAGCAAGATAACTTGTGAAAGATAAGTTGACGGGACCAGGGCAAGATAAAATGACGAGGCCAAAGCAAGATAGATTGGACAAGAAAACCTGATGAGGCCAGGATAAAATAAACTGACGTATCCAAGGCAAGATAGTTTGGGAAAGATAACCTGACGGAACCAAGGCAAGATAGATTCGACAAGATAACTTTATGGAGCTAATGCAAGATAGCAAGGACAAGATAACCTGACGGAGCCAGGGTAAGATAGCCCGGGGAAGATAACATGACGGACCCAGTGCAAGGTATCTTGGGCAAGATAACCTGATGGAGCCAGTACAAGGTATCTTGAGAATGATAACCCGATGGACCTAGGGCAACATAACTTAGGCAAAATAGCCTGACGGAACAAGGGCAAGGTAACTTGGGAATGATAACCTGATGGAGCCAGGACAGGATAACTTGAGCAAGATAACTTGACGCACTCAGTGCAAGGTATCTTGGGCAAGATAACCTGATGGAGCCGGAGCAAGATAGCTTGGGCAAGATAACCTGACGGAACCAGGGCAGGGTATCTTGGGCAAGATAACCTGATGGAGCCGGTGCAAGGTATCTTGAGAATGATAACCCGATGGACCTAGGGCAACATAACTTAGGCAAAATAGCCTGACGGAACAAGGGCAAGGTAACTTGGGAATGATGACCTGATGGAGCCAGGACAAGATAGTTTGGGCAAGATAACCTGATGGGGTCGGTGCAAGGTATCTTGAGAATGATAACCTGACGGAGCCACTGCAAACTAGCTTGGGCAAGATAGCCTGGTTACTAAAAATACATCAAAACTACGTAGATCAACTTGAAACTAGACTTCATTATCTTTCCTAAGTCATAGCAGTTCATGGACAAAAAAGAAACTGGAATCGGTGGTAGGACCATTAAAGTCTACACAAAGGAGATTAAGGCTAGAGGCCTGGTGGCCAGGCTAGTCTACAGATGTAGAAGAATACATAAAAACGTATAATATGTGCAATGAAAGAAGAAAATTTAGACAAAGACACATACATAGCCTAAAATGTCCCAACTATGGGACAGAGTACACATGGATCATGCCCATGTCAATGAAGTGGGATTATTACTAATACTGGTAGATTCGTATTAAGGCTGATTAGAAGAAATATAGGTTTCCAACAAAAGAAGTTCGTCCATGAAAACAAGCATGAAGGATCATATTTTTAAGAAATGGAATTCCGAAAACGCTAGTATCTGACAACGCGTCCAAGAGTTCTGTGACGAGGAACTATGCCAATGGCTGAACAAAATTGGATGCAAAACATATAAAAGCCCACCGTACTATCCGCAATCAAAGGGAGTAGCAGAAAGTATGGTCCAAAGTATAAAGATGGATTGAAAATATGTAAAAAGATAAATACATTTGTTCTAGCTAATTGAAACGAAGCTATAAGACAATACCACATACGGAAAGATCGAAAAACCCGTCTTCCCTCATGGGTAGAAAAATCAGAGCTCCATTGACCAATACCATGTCTTATGCCAGCAACGGAAAACTGTGGTATAAAAAGAATGGTGAATCTAATCTACAAGCGGTAAGATTCATAATGCAAACTGGACAGAACACTATGATAATAGAAAGAAATGGAAATGGGATATTAGCGCATGCAGAACAAGTTAGATTGCAACAGGATAGCCATGAAGAAATGTGTAGTTAGCTTGAAAGTAATGAAGGCGAAAGTGTCATGTCAGGAAAAGACAAATATGGCAGTGAAATCGGGAGTAAGGTAGACCTGAAGATGAACACTCATTGGAGGAAGACAAATATGAAAAAAGAAAAAGATCATGATCTCCCTTTTCTAGACACTCTCTTAGGAAGAGGGAGGACGACAGCGAGGAAAGAAAAGCTCCCGGAAGTAGTACTAGGGAAAATAAGGGAATAAAAACTCTTCGGTACAGGGAAATGAGGTGACTCATTTACATAGGCAGTCACAAAGACTATAAATAGCTACAACTATTAGCCATGATGCAGTTGAGTGAATACTATTTCCTGCAACCCCATTTCGTAATGTCGAATATAGTAATACTATAGTAATTAATCTAAATTAATATAATTATATTTTATTTAATAAATATTTAAAATTATTATTATTATTTATTTTTAATATATTAAATTAATTTATATAATAAATTATAATCTTTATATAATTTTCCTTTATATATATATATATATATATATGTGTGTGTGTGTGTGTGTGTGTGTGTGTGTGTGAAAATATATAGAAAATAGGAAGGAACTGGTTAGGTAAATAATCCAAAGTTCCTTAGTATTTTAGTTATTATTTTTTAAAAATTAGTGCTCGATACAAAAGTAGAGCATAAATATAATTATTTATTTAAAAATATGATTCCAAATCGCGACATAAGAAGTCTCATGTTTCAAAACAAGAGCCGAAAACTTCAATATAATTATTTGAATTAAATTGAGTTAAAGTAAGCTCTGTTCCATCTTCAAGCGAAATTTTTTTTGGAATAACGTATTTCTGAAATTTACGTGTTTTAATAATTGAAATCAAAATTTCCATGGTAACAGCTAGGGCGAATTGTTTAAATTGGGTAGGCACAGTGGAGTAATGGGTAGCGGCTTGGATTGAGGAATCGCAGAGTCGAATCCATTACATTCACTTACGTGCTAATACCCTTGGGAAAGGTATGAATCCTCTTCCTCTCCCTCCAGCTATGGGTAAAATAGCAGGACAGACTGGGTTCTATAGCCTTGGATAGCAACTGGTCTAGGAGAAGGACAACTCTGAATTCAAAACCTGCAGAGGGTCGTTTGGGAACCTTGTGGCATTCGGTGCACCAGGTCTCTGTATTCGTCGCTTCAGAAAGTGTGGATGGTCCTGCACGAAACCTTCACCACTATAATCAAATCTCATGTGCTGTTGTCGGGCTGTCGGTTTCCTGAAACTGATCTGCTTGACCCTCATACGTCGAATATATATATATATATATATATATATATATATATATATATATATATATATATATATATATATATAATAAAAACTTAAACACTAATATTCCATGGTCATAATTTATTCCATTGGAATCGTAAATACAATCAATTCATCAGACCTACAAATTCAAAAAAAACAGAAAAAAACAACTCCGGGAATAAAAATAAAATTTAGTGAGAGTGTATGTATGAGAGTATTTTAAATATATGATTGCATATGTATGTATATTTACCACTAATATTATCTATCTATCTATCTATCTATCTATCTATCTATCTATCTATATATGTGTGTGTGTGTGTGTATATATATGTATGTGTGTGTGCATATATATATATATATATATATATATATATATATATATATATATATAATCCTACCTTTATATATGCTTCTCAGTTATTATTCAACTTTTACAATCAAAGCATCTAGGAGAGTAAAAGAGACGCTAAAACTTACATCGCTTCATCTCGTTTTCTGCTAGTTTTAGATGTGTTTTTTTGTCTATTTTTAGTCTTTTAATATGGCGTAGATTACTGTAGAAATGCCAATTCTCAGTTGTAACAAACGTTCCGAAGTGTAATTGCATTCTTCGGACCACTAAAATATTACCGTAGGCCTCCAATTTGTTATTTTATTGTGTAGAACCCCAGTGATGTTACCTGGAACAGAATTCATATGGACCCCGGTTGGGAACCTCTGGTTTAGATGTATCGGACGCCCAAAATTTTAAATTTTAAAGTTAGCTATTCCTGAATCTTTAGCTTTTTGTGATATAGACTTATAACAGGCGTTTGTTGTATTTTGTTCCCCTCCTACCCATATAAGTTTCCGTCGGTAAAACTATAGCCTGAACAAGTCGTTTCGAACGATGAAACGCGTCATTTAGGAATTATCTTCTATTTGTTATTTAATCACCCACTATTAGTTTCAGTAATCACATTTTTATTGGAGCTTTTTTATTGAAGAAAAAGTGACAGATTTAATTATCAATGACAACATTTTTATAAAAGATATTTTTTTCTTTTTTTTCCAAATTGAAGCCGTTATATTTAGGCAGTGACCAAAGTGATAAATATCTTTTATTCCTGTCTTGACTTTAGCATCGTGAAATATTCAATGAGGTCCATCCCGACCACGTCGCAGCGGTCACAGCATTGTCTGGCGGACAATGAATTCAACTTAATGTGGAAACTAAACGATTTTAAAGATAGATGTTAAAAAGTCAACGAGTTTTTATGTCGCTTCAGGGATAGGTGGATTATATATAGGTGGGGAATAGAATAAGAAATAGCGAAACGTTCACATTGACGCTCTAAATATATAGTCAGTTTTCTAGACACCATTTTTTAGGCAGTGGTTAGTCTGTTAAGACTATGGCTATAGTGGGTTCGATTCTTACTGCCTGCCCAACTGTCGTAGCACACTTGTTATCAAACTCTTCTTGAAGGTAAATTCGCAAAAGTTGTGAATTCGATCTTCGCGGAGTAACCCACTCATGTGCGGCCTTGTGCCAGACTAAAGTAAGGTTACTCCTTATTTATATATGAACGAATTTAATCTCACTTCAGCGATGAATTGATTTTACATAGAGTTGTGAATATGGCAGATATGTTTTGAAAACGTGCTGTTCCAGTATTTACTATTTGTAAAGGACGTTTCGTATGCGTGGTTTCTTTGTTTCCAGGGTCCTTCAGTTACTCCTATGTATATTTTTCTACGTTATCTGGTGAATTTTACAATGGCTTGGTATATTAAATTGTTTTGCAAGTAACTGCCGTTTAAGGGACTTCGTTCTTTATTCTGCGGTTACACGTGGATTTAATTTGTTCAGGTGGTTTGCTGATCGTTTTTCTGTTGTGCTTTTTTATATTACTTGTGTCATGTTCTTGGTGCAACTGTAGCGCATTTTTACTGTGTTTTTGTTGAATATCTTGTGAAGAGTTCTTGATTCGAAGAATTGTTTGAATATATGAGTTTAATGAATATTTTCCTACGTTTTTTTTTACGTTTTTGTTGTGCAATGGATTGAGCAATATGATGTTTCTCTTCCTGTTTGATGTTTTTGTGCTGCGTGGTATGTGAGTGATGCCGGGGATCCACTATCTTTTACAGCTGTTTCATAGTCTTTCTTAGCTTCGTTAAATATGGTTTCATTGGAAGAATTGTCGGAAAGCCTGCGATTAATTGATTGTGGTATCTGCTTGATTATTGTTAGTGGGTGGTTGGAAGATGTATGTATATACAGTAATTTATCATTGGGTTTTCTTAGGTTGAATGTGACATCTAGAAAATCTACTTCGTTTAGGTTAGTTTATATATCTATGTCGAATCTCATATTTTTGAGAAACTTTATGATTGTTTTTTTTTCTAGTTTTGTTTGTGCTTTAATTGTTATAATTTCTTAAGATTATGAAGACGTCGTCTCTGCAGAATCATGTATCATTTCTATTTATTATTTTACTTAGTTCATGTAGCAAATATATACCTATGAGTTCATAGTTTTCTGCACAGTAATCGTCTAGGTCTAATTTTGGGGCAAAATTTTGATCTAGACTATATATATATATATATATATATATATATATATATAGTGCAGATTATTATTCAAACATATACTGATAAATAAAAGAACGAATGTCTAATATGTTTGATCATGAGCCGTTCTAAACTTCGTATAGTTGCTTTAGAAAATAAAGACAAAAACTGTCCAACATTTAAATAAATTTTATTATACTGTCTCTCGATCAAAGCTTTCGGTTCAGATGCACCATCATCAGAGTGGTTATATGGACATTACAACAGAGATGTTCACCACCAAAGATGACATCCTGTTATGTTTATATATATATATATATATATATATATATATATATATAGGTATAAAATAAGAACAAATGGAGTATAATTGTCCATAGCATTTAATTTAAAAAGGGCTAAATACAAAGTATTATTATTCATTATAGGAGATATAGTTTTAATCTCCTATAATAAATTATATATATATATATATATATATATATATATATATATATATATATATATATATATATATTCTTGGATGAAGTGTATCTGTACAAAAGACAAAAGACGAAAAGAAACTATAATTAGGCGATGTGTTTCGACCTCTTAGACACATTGCCTTCATAAAGTCCCCTCAGAGTACAAAAAACATGTCGGCTAAGTATGGTTTTTCCTCTTGTATCTTTTTACTCATATATATATATATATATATATATATATATATATATATATATATAAAATAAAAATATTTTTCGTCCCCATCGTTAAATATATGAAGAGAAATAGAAACCAACAATTCAGACAAAGTTTACCATGTTTTTGAAAAAATAAAACAACACCACTGGCGACCTACAACCGAATATCAGCGGACAGGAACATGTTCTGTATTTGTATGCATTTTGCTATGTTTTAAAACTAAAATCTTTTCAGTATTTTTGCGCCTATATTTTTTTTTTTATGTTTACAGATATTAAACTAACTTAATTGTAATATGCAGTGTTTGATTTAAACCTGACGAACGTAAAAAATAAGAAACAATGTCTAGAGGGATGATACAAAAAAGGTATTAAACATAAAGAGACCGTAAAAATTATACAAAATACAATAGGTAGCCCCATTTTCTCGCTGAAAAAATAACAACATAGCATGATGAAAAAAGATTCCAATCTTAATAAAGACAAAGTTTTATCATCAAAATATTTATGTTATTATTAAGATGAAAGACCAAATTATTTTTTATTAAGTTTTTTAATCCTTTCTAACACGTTCGAAATTTTGGTTAAAAATCTTTTTTTGGCGTCAGCGGTTGACGTAATATTTACTATTAGTGTTTTAGCACATTTTTTTTTCAGGTAAAAAACACATTGATTTGAAAATTTCTTGCAAAAATCAAATAATCGTCGGATTGTAATTAAACTTATTCACAAATGAATTAAATGATTTAAAAATTCTTTTTAGAAAATCTTGGTAATGAAATGTCGACGTCTGACGTTTCGGTTTAATAAACCTTCTTCAAGACAATATTCATTAAAATACAATTCAGTTCAATTTGACAAAGACGATGGACATAAAAAACAAGTCTTATCCAAAACAGATAACTGAAAATTTTTAAAATGATCAGCTTTCCGTTTAGCATTATTTATTAAACCGAAACGTCAGACGTCGACATTTCATTCATTTTAAACAACATAATTGCATTTAAGGATTTTTGGTTTGTTTTTTCAAATTTTTTCTTCATTCTGTCGGATCTATATATTTTATATATATAAAGAAATATAGTCTTAAGGTGTGCTATATTTATGGGATAAAGTGCTCAATATCAGAGATAGAGCGTGTGTAAATATAAAAGTGAACATAGAAGTCAACACTTAGAGGCAACAGTCTGTTTCATGCTATATGCAATCGTCAGGCCACATATGCTGTTATTTTTCTCGGCTGTTTATATATATACGGCTGTATATATATATAAATAGCCGAGAAAAATAACCATATATATATATAAATAGCCGAGAAAAAATAACAGCATATGTGGCCTGACGATTGCATATAGCATGAAACAGACTGTTGCCTCTAAGTGTTGACTTCTATGTTCACTTTTATATTTATATATATATATATACAGATAGATAGATAGATAAATTGATATATAGTTAGATATGAACATAATCTGATAGATAGATAGATAGATAGATAGATAGATAGATAGTGAACAGACAGTGATAGATAGATAGATAGATAGATAGATAGATAGATAGATAGATAGATAGATAGATATGAACAGATTTGGATAGATAGATCGATTACGACGAACAACGCGATGAAATTCGTGGATCAGTGAAGCAATTTTCCCGATGTTGATTGAAAAACCTTTATGAATTGCATATGAATGAAGCCAGGTGAGTGTTCAATGTAATATGAATCGTTGAATGACTTTTCTATTTCCTGCACCCACTGAAGTCATACAGTAGACAGGGCTTTTGGTATTTGACTCCTCATAAATTAAGTGAGGAAATAGAAAATTTCGTTGAACAGGGAAGATGGAAGATCAAAGTAATTGTAGCCAAAGTGAATGGTGGGCGCCCAGAAATGATCTTCACCATTTTAGATGGTAAATATCACTGCATCGGTAAACAAAATATATAATACCTGTTAGCCTCAATGTCAGCATATATTTTTATCATACTCCACGTTCTTTAACACATCCTAAAATATATTTCCGTGTATAAGGCGACCTTTAAATCTTAAAAATTTCCCCACGAGCTAGGGGGTCGTCTAATAGAACTGTTACAAAAAGCTAACCATAAATTCTGTAGTGTATCGGCACTTGTAACTAGGCTAGTATGCTTGTGACATGGGTCGCAGTAGGCTAAAAACTTCCTCGGTATGATAACTACCGATATAAATATTTCTAGTTAAAAACATTCACATTATAATGCTGTACCACAGTTATAAATGTAATAAAACTATTTTTACTTCTTGATTTCACATTAAACTGCAATATTCAAGAGACGATTACACGACAATTTGCAAAAGTTCTGCTGAGCAACACGCACAAGTAACGTAAACAAATAACGTATACAAATAATAACAATATTATTTCATACTGGTAGGAACCATTATGATAGATCTAACTGCTAATGGCGGTGTAGGCTAGCCTACATTTTCGGTCGTCTTATATTGAGTTGGCTAGAAAGTGTTGACTTACACAAATAATATCAGCCTTACTTCATACTGGTAGGAACCATTATGATAGACCTAACAGCTAATGGTCGCGTAGCTAGCCTACATTTTCGGTCGTCTTATATTGAGTTGGCCAGAAAGTGTTGACTCACTTAGGAAACGGAAAGAAAACAACAAAATGTCATGGAGCAACGCCAATATTTATTCTTCAAAATAAAGTCCATCATTCTCGATCTTCTGCCAGCGATCAGCCAGCATCCGAATCTGTCCCAGATACCCGTCCGCTGGCTTTGAATCAAAAAACTGTAAACAAGCTTCCTTTACTTCATCAAAAGTGTTGAATCGCTGGTCGCGGAAGGAGTGTGCCATTGAGCGGAATAAGCCATAGTCACTCGGAGCAGCATCGGGACTGAATGGTGGATGTGGAAGAATCTCACCACCGTCGATCTGTTCGAACTTTTCCTTAGTCAATCTGGCAGTGTGTGGCCTCTCATTGCCTTGCAGAAACAAAGCCCGATCTCGATTGATCAAAGCAGGATACTCCTTTTTTTTGTCATAAACGCTGTCCACCTGCTGGCAATAGAGTTTAACCTTGATGGTTCGACCGTGTTGTTTTCTTTTCGCTTCCTAAGTGAGTCAGGACTCTCTGGCCAACCTAATATTACGGATATCAGATAAAATCCAAATATTTAACCAGATTTTGGGTCTCGTCTTGTCTCATTATCATGTGTCCACTGCAGTCAAGATCATGGACTCCACAACACTATGCTAGACCTCCCTGTCCTTCATTGCTCTTCTCCAATTCCTGCCTACCAATGCCTGCATCCCATTAGTTGACGTCAGGGAATGATAGTTTTCTGTGTGGCACCATGCATAATTAGAAAACTGAAAAGAGATATTCATAAATATATTATTTGTTTTTTTGGTTTGTTAACCATTTGATAATTATTTAGAGCTGAAAAATATTTCGGGGTTGAGAATAATTCTTTAATTGCGTTCAGGCGATCTGGGAGAAAGAAAGAAAAGAAGAGGAAGAGGAAAGAAAGGAGAAAAATAAATAATACGAAACCAGGTCGTAAGCGAAAACACACACGCTCGGCTGGCACATATCAGATGTCAAAAATATCAGGTCAAGTACCTGACCTACTTCCGTGTCCACAAAGGATGGAAGTTTGTTATCAATTTGGTTGAAGAAATAAAGTTTAGAGACAATGGAAAAAATATGATAGGTAACAGGTGGGAAGTTTATCTAAGGATATACAGACAATCCATTAATACGAGAACCCAGACAATTCCAGAATTGAAAATACAGCCACACAAGATGATGATTAGAAAATGCTTTTTTGAGATAATACAGATTTTTATTATCGGCCGGAGGAGAATGAAATATTTTGTTGCGTTCAGAGAAACGCCGACAGGTCTAAGAAATCCCTTTCTTAGATCGTATCCAATTAGCGATAGGCTGTTTGACAAATACCGCGTGCGTCATTTCGGTCACGTACGAAAAAGGGCAGTTTAAGTTTTTGTTTTTTTTAAGCAAGGTGTTTCTTCCCCCAGAACAAAGCCACGGATTGTCCACGCCCGATTAAAGACGTCACGAAGGAAGGAGGAAAGATACCGACCAGAGTCTCATTGGCCGAAGGCGGTCACATGATACATGAGGGAGGAGGAGAGACACCCGACCAGGACCCCATTGGCCGAGAGCGGTCACATGATGTGCAAGGGAGGAGTAAAGATGCCGACCAGGACCCCATTGGTCGAGCGGTCACCTGACATACGAAGGACCAGGGGAAGCGGGTATACGCCCCCCCCGAGGCACAGTAAGGAAGTAGGAGGAAAGTAAGTTACCGAAAATGGAAATCCCTAATCAGAAATAATACGTATTTAGAATTATCAAGAAAACCCTGGCGCCGACAGACCCCAGTTTTTGACTGCGTCAATAAAAGCAGGACCCCAACCGACAGAGATCAGTTGGAGTTGCAGTTGCGCCGCGGACGGCGAGGGAGTTTGAGAGCGGCGGCGGGCCCGGTTCATTCGCCCCCTTGCGGGCAAGAGAAGCCGAAGTGAAGCAGCCCGTTTGGCCTAAGTGGAGAAGTTGGAATCAAACCGAAGTGAAGAAATTCGTCCAACCCAAGCCGAAGTGAATAAGATCGTCCAACCGACAGAAATCAGTTGCAGCGCGGACGGCGGGCCCTGTTCATTCGTCCCCTTTGCGGCAAGAAAGGCCGGTCCGTTTGGCCTAAGAAGAGAAATTCGTCCAACCCAAGTCGAAGTGAATAAGCTCGTCCAACCGAAGCCGAAGAGAAGAAGTTAATTCGCGCACTGACGGCAGAGATGAGTGAACAATAATTCAGACTCTGAAGAGAGAGTTAGTTGCAGCCACGGACGGCGAGAGAAATCAGCCGTGAACGACAGGTAGAGATCAGCGCCCAGTGTCGAAACCAAACCACACCCCGAAATGCAAATTTCTAGAGATCAGGCAACTCGAAGCCTTAAAGTTGTATGGTAGAAGCTTGGTGCCACGGTCCACAGAACGGGTCGGGAGGTAGGAATAATCTTGTGTAACGAGCAATTAGATATAAAAGTTGTTACCTTTTTCTTCAATATTTTTGACCTTGTGAGTTTTTATTTTTCTTGTGTGTTATCACCCCCGTTGGACTCAGCTTGCATACGGCCCAATCCCTGTTTGATCCCGTCTGTCTAAGATCTAATCACAACGTGGGTAGGCAGAACGGAGATCAGTGCAGTTACCCTGGTAACCAGGCGTTGGAAGCGGGTTGGGAACGACGAGGCTGGTATTCATCTAACCAAAGGGTTAGAACGTCACACTTGGAGCAGCGAGGAGCGAACAGCTAGTGTCGCGAACGGGATCGAAAGACACAGTCGACGCTGCGACCAGGGGGGACGACGTCACATCTGTCTATGGTCAGGTTTGACGCAGGCTTCCATACTAGGAGAGAGGAGACAACCTCATTTTCAGCAGGGTGTCTGTGCTTGACGAGCTCGTATGAGAGAGGAAAAAAGGTGAAAATGCCGTAGACTTGCTGGATGGTTGGATGGCGTTTCCAAGAGAGGTTTTGAGCTTTCATCAGAAGACGGGTGCCTTATCTATAGTATGCCTTGTAGGTGTAAATATATTGTACTTCCACATTGATGGTTGTGAATTCAAGCATTGGTATTTTATAATTATTTCTAGATTTTCAAGATGCAAACGTTCTCCTTTACTAAAACGTAAATCTCAGTGACCCAAGTCTGGTCCACGCCAAATGCATTCCTGTATCGCATCTTTAGACTCCCCGCAAATTTTTCCAATTTCTTAATATTTTGCTTAATTTCTGAAAGGCATCTTTTTTCTATTCCAATGGGTCTCTTCTGAATTCGGTGTGACATTTTTCTGAATAATCTTTTTGAAAGGCATCTTTTTCTATTCCAATGGGTCCCTTCGGATTTCAGTGTGACATTTTTCTGAATAATCTTTTTGAAAGGCATCATTTTCTATTCCAATGGGTCCCTTCGGATTTCAGTGTGACATTTTTCTGAATAATCTTTTTGAAAGGCATCTTTTTCTATTCCAATGGGTCCCTTCGGATTTCGGTGTGACATTTTTCTGAATAATCTTTTTGAAAGGCATCTTTTTTCTATTCCAATGGGTCCCTTCGGATTTCGGTGTGACATTTTTCATCATCTGTTAAAACATTTCCCATATATTGAAATTTTGACATCTCCAATCTGTAGCTCTCAACTTGAGCTGTCACTTTTTCTTACAACCATGGATTCTATTTTCTTACAATTGAGGGTTAGTCCTTTCTTCCCGTTTTTTTTTCTTTCTGTGCCAACTCCATAGAAAAAGACATAATAATTTTTATAAAACTTATCTCCTATGGGCAGTAACCCTTTATTAGAAGGGCAGTCATGGCTCTCCGCAACTTCCTCTCCTTTGCTAGCTCTCTTAATCCCTGTTCTGCCAACCATTTATCAGGATGAGTAGGTAGGGTATTTGCTATTTTCCTATGTATCTCTGAATAATTTCTTTGAGCTGAGCGGAGACGAATCCCTTTTTGTTTCTATCGCATTCTGCGGGTAAGAGAACAAAAAGTAATTGTTTATGCCTTTTCAGTTTGTACTACTTATTATCACGCTACCTACAGGATGTTAAGCAAAGACCCCTGGCGGTGAAAAGTGATATGAGGGCGATAGACAATGGACATCGAGAGGTGGGAAGACGTCGCCAATGATCGCTCAAGCTGGAGACGCGATTTACAGCGAGGGCTGGAGCGAGGAGAGGAGAAACGAAGGCTTGTCACCGGGAAGAAGCGTGATCGACGGAAAGAAAACAATGTAGCAAAAAGAGAGAAAGAGAGAGAGAGAGAGAGAGAGAGAGTAAGAAAGAGAGAGAAAGAGAGAGAAGGTGACAAAGCGTCTTTACATGCATTCATTGCAATCGAGACTGTCACTTTCGTGTGGGCCTGTACACCCATAAAAGATGCTGCACCGCCATCAGCAGCTGAGGCATAACTCTTTGGGCCGCAGATCCTAGGTTTCTCAAGACCGATGGATGCCACATACATTGGGTCTAATTTCATTTCTATTTAATGTGTTTTTTCACCGTCGCGCTATCGTTATTATCTCTGCCTTTTTAATGTAATGAACGAAGTTATGGTGTAGTGTTTTTTTTTCTTTTTTTTAACGGTATACCAACACCTTATTGATTATTTAATGCCAAAATTTAATTTTCTTGGAAGCATTAGTATTTTTTACGAAAATGTATTGTTGACAATTTTTCTTTTATAAAAATGTATTGCTGGTAATTTTTTCCCTCACAATGTATGTTGTGGTAGGATCCACCTAATTTGCATAGTGGAGTACCGACCATATAAATATGGTTGGTACCGGGAAGACGGGAGAGGAATCAAGAGATTCAATCCAAAGACTCTGCCCGACTGCGACGAAGTCAACACATTCTCCAGAAACGGTCTTCCCAGGAATATACAAAAGACTATATGTAAATGTTGTGTACACTTTCTTGTTTCAATACATTTTGTTCTAAGTACATTTTGTGTTGCATTATTATTCCATGCATTAGTCAAGTTTCAACAATGTAATATTTTTTTTATTTTTTACAAAAAATGTATTGACAGTAATTCCTTTACTATGAAAATGCATTGTTGGCACTTGTACAGAAATGTATTTTTATACCTTCATGGTGTTTTGATTTCAGTTTGGAGGTTAACTATTTACATATCTGGGACCCTAACAGGTGCCACCACTCAAGATCAGGGTAAACCTAGGTACAACAGCAATTAAGAAGTGTTTCCCCTCTCCGCAGAACCTCCAATCTCCCACTCAGAGGCCTTGCTGTCGGATGTAGGTTATGCTGGTGTAGTCCCTGAGATCAAACACCCCCTATAGATTGATGTGAAGAACAGATACATTTTCATTCCAGCCCAAAGGCCAGAAATCCTTGTAACAATCACAATTAATATTTAAAATAAAAAATACTGACAATGGAAATTATGCGTTAAATTATATTGATACACATCGATATGAAATCAAAAAATAATTATTGCAACAAGAATTAATCTGTTCAATCAATCAATTTGGTCTGTTTTTTAATGATTGAAATTTCTTTTTTTATTTCACCTTGATTTTATCATATTCTTTGCAGCGTTTTTTAAGTGAGTTTAGCTAAAATGGTGTCTAATATCCGAGATAAGTCACATTTCAAATTATAATTTTCGCCTTTTGTTGACTTCAAACAATTTTAGTCCATCAATTTTGGTTGACGCAAATTTATTTCAAATTCCTACTCAATCAAAATATATTCGTCCTTTGCTTACAAGAGTACATTAAGAAACCTCTTGATAAACTGTAAAAAGAGTAGAAGAATTTAATCGCCATTTCCTTTCGAAACATGGAGCATCATTTACTCATTAATCTTGATTACTCCTTCCTAGTTCCAGCTAAGTAGCTTAATTATTTTTCTTATCCTGAATAAGACAATAAAGGTACTAAGACGCAAGGGGGTTACTGATAGTGAGAGAATATGAGAAAAACATTATTAAGGAGAGAGAGAGAGAGAGAGAAAAAGAAAGAAAAAGAAACGTTTGATTTTTTACTATACATCAGTCGCCTTCCTGACATTCATTCACACCTGATGCTTGTCTCTTTCTGATTTTAAGTATAAGTGTCGTTTTTGTTTCTATTTTCCTTAAAACTTCTTCATTGCTCACATGCCCCGTCCATGGTATTCTCAGCCTTCTTCTATAGAACCACATCTCTGATGCTTGTCTCTTTCTGATTTTAAGTATAAGTGTCGTTTTTGTTTCTATTTTCCTTAAAACTTCTTCATTGCACACATGCTCTGTTCATGGTATTCTCAGCCTTCTTCTATAGAACCACATCTCTGATGCTTGTCTCTTTCTGATTTTAAGTATAAGTGTCGTTTTTGTTTCTATTTTCCTTAAAACTTCTTCATTGCACACATTCTCTGTTCATGGTATTCTCAGCCTTCTTCTATAGAACCACATCTCTGATGCTTGTCTGTTTCTGATTCTAAGTATAAGTGTCCATTTTGTTTCTATTTTCCTTAAAACTTCTTCATTGCTCACATGCCCCGTCCATGGTATTCTCAGCCTTCTTCTGTAGAACCACATCTCTGATGCTTGTCTCTTTCTGATTTTAAGTATAAGTGTCGTTTTTGTTTCTATTTTCCTTAAAACTTCTTCATTGCTCACATGCCCCGTCCATGGTATTCTCAGCCTTCTTCTGTAGAACCACATCTCTGATGCTTGTCTCTTTCTGATTTTAAGTATGTGTCGTTTTTGTTTCTATTTTCCTTAAAACTTCTTCATTGCTCACATGCCCCGTCCATGGTATTCTCAGCCTTCTTCTGTAGAACCACATCTCTGATGCGTGTCTCTTTCTGATTTTAAGTATAAGTGTCCTTTTTGTTTCCATTTTCCTTAAAACTTCTTCATTGCACACATGCTCTGTTCATGGTATTCTCAGCCTTCTTCTATAGAACCACATCTCTGATGCTTGTCTCTTTCTGATTTTAAGTATAAGTGTCGTTTTTGTTTCTATTTTCCTTAAAACTTCTTCATTGCACACATTCTCTGTTCATGGTATTCTCAGCCTTCTTCTATAGAACCACATCTCTGATGCTTGTCTGTTTCTGATTCTAAGTATAAGTGTCCATTTTGTTTCTATTTTCCTTAAAACTTCTTCATTGCTCACATGCCCCCGTCCATGGTATTCTCAGCCTTCTTCTGTAGAACCACATCTCTGATGCTTGTCTCTTTCTGATTTTAAGTATAAGTGTCGTTTTTTGTTTCTATTTTCCTTAAAACTTCTTCATTGCACACATGCTCTGTTCATGGTATTCTCAGCTTTCTTCTATAGAACCACATCTCTGATGCTTGTCTCTTTCTGATTTTAAGTATAAGTGTCGTTTTTTGTTTCTATTTTCCTTAAAACTTCTTCATTGCACACATTCTCTGTTCATGGTATTCTCAGCCTTCTTCTATAGAACCACATCTCTGATGCTTGTCTGTTTCTGATTCTAAGTATAAGTGTCCATTTTGTTTCTATTTTCCTTAAAACTTCTTCATTGCTCACATGCTCCGTCCATGGTATTCTCAGCCTTCTTCTGTAGAACCACATCTCTGATGCTTGTCTCTTTCTGATTTTAAGTATAAGTGTCGTTTTTGTTTCTATTTTCCTTAAAACTTCTTCATTGCACACATGCTCTGTTCATGGTATTCTCAGCTTTCTTCTATAGAACCACATCTCTGATGCTTGTCTCTTTCTGATTTTAAGTATAAGTGTCGTTTTTGTTTCTATTTTCCTTAAAACTTCTTCATTGCACACATTCTCTGTTCATGGTATTCTCAGCCTTCTTCTATAGAACCACATCTCTGATGCTTGTCTGTTTCTGATTCTAAGTATAAGTGTCCATTTTGTTTCTATTTTCCTTAAAACTTCTTCATTGCTCACATGCCCCGTCCATGGTATTCTCAGCCTTCTTCTGTAGAACCACATCTCTGATGCTTGTCTCTTTCTGATTTTAAGTATAAGTGTCGTTTTTTGT